AAAGTCTTAAAATATATTTTCCCATTTTAAAATGGATTCTGGGTTAAAAAATGACTACTATTAATAAAAGCACTGTGAAAATCCTTTCCAGACTTTCGGAAAACGATTCTCCAAAAACCGGAAAATGGTTTTCCACTTTCTTGCATACGGCCTCAGGTGTCCTCTTGGTTTGAATATATCTCTTAAATTTCACGCCGTCGTATTCTGTTATCTTATTTATGGTAATTCTTGTGCAGTCTTCTAAATATGGTATCTGACATACTAAACTTTCGATAGTTTGCTATTATGAAGGGGTTTTTAAAAACAGGAAAATTAATTTACAAAACCTGGCTTGAAGATTCCCATATTGCATGATTACACACGCTTAAAAAATTGTATCTCAATAAACGATGTGACCTGGATACGATGTTATTGTTGATTTACTAATACAATAAACTTGTTATAAGACTGTCTTCTCCTAACCTCCCCTCTGGGGAATTTGCACTGTAATTATTAATGACGTATATCATATACCGCTTATTTAGACGATATCATCTAGAGGTGAAGATGAAGAAGATCCAGGAGGGTTCCACATAAGCCCCGCCCACCAACTCACCTGAGAACTATTATCTAATTTAGTTCATTCATTCTTGAATATCAGTCAACCGACTACTCTCATTCTCTATCGTCTTATTCACTGTTCAACATGCCAGCCAGAACCTCTTCTTCTTCTACCAAGTCAATCATCAAATCCCGTGGAATCAAAGGAATCGAGAAGAAGCTCACTGCCAGTCAATACGTCGGAAAGTATACCGAAATGCTGTTGCTTGGAGTCAGAAGAACCTACGCTCTCGAACGGTTGATCGATGCTGATTGTCCAGTTCGCGCCTTCGAAGAAAATCTCACGGAGAAGGTTCTAGAGAAACACATCGCTCCATTAGGAATGTACACCTACCATCTCAACAAATTGGCTGAGAAATTCGCTGAAATCAGAAGGAAGGACCTGATCAACACTCAACGGAAATTGGCAAAATCGAGAGAATGCAATGCTTACATTGAAAATCAAAAGATGATTCTGGAACAGAAGACTCAAGAAGAAGTCAACGAATTGTTTACTGCTGCCATGGGATCTACTCGTGCTCCAAAGAAGACGTCAATGAAACCAGACTACTCCAAGTACCGTATCGTCAAGAGATCCAAGTCTTCAACATCTTCAACACCAACATCATCATCTTCTTCTTCGTCTTCTTCTCCAACGTCTCAATAATGTGTATCTAACTATCTCTTTATGAATATCTCATGAATACTCATATCAATTCTTTTACAATTCTCCTTTTTTGTATTTATCATTGCCTAATTGAAATTCATGTTTTCTTATAGGACTCGTATGTTTTCATATATCCAAGGATGTTTACAAAAAAAAGAAGTATCGGTAACCTTGGAATCATGTGTTCTCTCAACGCCTTCAAAGCTTAAGAGATTGCAGGAAACATACGGACTTTCTACCAAACATTCAGATAATCTGGGAAACCCTTCTCCCTTGAAAATAATTATATATGTACATATACATCCATTATATCCATTACTTGTCATTTCCATTCCCTCTTTTTTTCTCTTCTTTTTTGTTTCAAATTCCGTAACATTTTCCCCTCTATTCCCATTCATTTTTTGCCTCCTCTCCTCCCTCTTTCCCCACTTTTTCTTCTTCGCTTCTCCCCCTTCTTTTCCGTTTTTACGTCAGTATTCAACAATAAAACGATTGCAATTCCATTTGCTATCATTTCAGTCTCCTCCTTATCAAAATGCACAATTATTGAGAGAGAGAGAGAGAGCTCTGTCGTCATTCCCCCATCCCGAGATGCAATTCTATTATTATGATTTTAATCGTCTACAAAACTTCAAAATTCTGTGTTAACGGTAGATGGTGTAAACAAGAAAGGTTGAAAAAGGAAGGAGCATTTCATTGATTTTTGAAAGTTTCGTTTTGTTTTCTCACAAGCTATCTTCAGGTCTTTTATCCCTGGTTAATGGTGTGTGATGGGTGAGTTTTGATCGCTCACTGATAACACATATTCACACAATTTTCCACATTTAGGAGGCTTATTGCTTCGAGAACGAATTTCCGGTTTTTTCAAATTTATTTTTCGATAGTTCTTGATTACCGTAACCTACAGCGATCCCCTGTTTTTCGTAGAGTTTTCTGGGCGACACTTCAAAACCAGTCATTTCGAAACCGTGGTAATAGAGACGAATGGATAAATTAGAGACTACAAAAATAATTCTAGGGCTTTCAAATATGATTTTTTTGATAAAACACATTCCGAAATTTGAAAAAAAAAATCAAAAAATTAAGTTTTTTGAAAAAAAATTGTTTTGAATTTTTCGATTTTCAGAATGTGGTCTATTAGAAAAAGCATGTGAAAGCCCTGAAATTGTTTTTGCAGTGTTCGGTATGTCGCAGTTTGGAAGTGACGCGGAGCCGTTTGCTGTTATTGTTCTCCATTAAAGTCGGAAAATAAAAGTTATACATAGTAAAAAATAGACGAAACTAAGAGAAAATCGAACAGATAAACAAAGAAAATTGACATTTTTTAGGTTACGGTAGTTGGAGTTGCCACAATTGTGGGATCTTCGGCTACCACCATCGGGCGGTTCTCTTCCAAAGCTCCGATTTTTTAACACCAGGATTATAGTCTTCTCAATATATGAATACCGTAACGCATAGTGATCCCTAGAATAACACCAATTAATCAGGAAAAAGACAAAATTATTAAAATTTTATAACACACTTTTTTTTCTATAAATATCACCGGTATTGATGATTGCTCATCATTTAAGACAAAACGACCAGAGATCACATTTTTCAATTTTACTGAACTATATGATTTCAGTTTCTTCTAAGCTGTTCATCTTTAAACTTTCCACCGATTCAGAACTGTTTCTATTTCAATATTTCTGAAAGCATCTCCCCTTCTCTCTCCAAACGCATAAATATTGTCAACAACAAAACATAACACATTTATTTGTCTTTTTCCCCATGGCATTCGAATCGTGTCAAACGTAATATTCAGGAAATGAGCCCCATTTGAATAGGCGATTCGGGAATCGTGTCGTTTTTGCTCCTAATTATCGTTCTCTCTTTTTCCTCTTTCCTCGTATTTAATGGATCTCTAATTCTCCTTTCTCTTGCTTTCCTGGGTCCACCCAATTTTCTTTTTTTTTCTTTTCGTTTTGTTTTTCACCACCTGCAAAAAGATCCTATTCTATTCCTTGCTTATATTCATGTTTCCGTTGGGTGATTCAGCAGAAAGAGTAGTTTCAGAAATGGCAGTTGACTTGAAACAGCACTTGGAGCTCGCCGACTACTTGGGAGTCGTCGCTGTCTGGTTTGTATTCTAAATTTGTTTTCAGAAAATATAGTGTTTCTGATTTAAGGTGCATCTTCTTTTCGATTCTCTTCGTTCTTTCAGTCATTTTCAACTTTGTCTGCATAAAGAAGGATGACGACATCACCGCTTTGGAACGCGTAAGCTTTATCTTTTTATTCCGAAATTCTCGGAATCCCGAAATTTTCGACCATTTTCTGAATTAACTCCCGATCGGAATGTTTATTTCATACTTGCAAAATCAGGGCCCGAAGATTTCCAGGGCCCGACCCGGCCCGGCCGGCCCGGGTTTTCAAATTTGAAAAGTTTTTTGAAATTTCAGACATTTTTTCAAATTTTTTTGTGAAAAAGAACTATTTTTATGAACATTTTCATCTTGAAAAAATTGGACAATTCTGAAAAAACCCCGGCCCGGCCCCCCGTTGCAAGTATGGTTTTCCAAAGATTTTTTCGGAAGTAGAGCTTCTTGGACTACGGTATTTCGAAGGCGCATGTGAAATGTTACCTAGCGGGCCTCGAGCGGAATAAATTTGAATTTTTTGCGTTTCTGAAATCTGGTTGTTCAATTTTCATCAATCTTCGCTTTATGGTCTAATGTTGGATTCTAAAATCCGAAATTTAAAAACGAATTTTCGACATTCTCAAAATTTCTAACCACCAAATAATTTCCTTTTCAGTGGGGATACAAGAAAAACATCGGAGTCAAATTGGGACCCCACAGAAGATCAATGGTCGCCCGCCAACTTCCACAGACCATCGAAATGGACTAGCTTATTTCACCTTTTCTTCTTGTTATTATTTTTTTATCAACTCAACGGTTTCTTAATAAAGTTTGATATATAGAATTTATCCAATGGGCAATGGTTCGACAAAAAAACGGGGTAAAAATATAAAAGAAAGCAAAACAAACGGGGAGGGGATAAATTACGAAAAAATGCTGGATGCAAACAAACAAAAACAGATGCTCTGATAATTAGAATTTATGGAGTCAACCGCTTTGGATCACGTGGGAAGAGCGAGGCAAGACGAATGTTGTGAAGTCCCAGGAAGAGCATGGTGACTCTCTCAAGACCAATTCCTCCTCCGGCGTGTGGTGGACATCCATATTTGAAGGCATCAATGTAGGATTGAATCTTGGCGAGGTCGACTTGATGATGCTTGGCGCGCTCGACAAGCATATCAGCATCATGGATACGTTGAGCTCCAGATAGAATCTCCTCTCCGCGCATGAACATATCGTAACTGTTGGAATAACGACCATCATGGGCATCTGGCATCGTGTAGAATGGGCGGACGGCCAATGGGAACTTGTCGAGAACATAGAAATCGGTATGGTACTTCTCCTTCACCAACTTTCCAAGGAACTTCTCCACTGGTGTCGACAGGTCTTCCTCATCTCCAATTTCAACTTTATGTTCACGGAGAAGAGCGATGGCATCAGGGTATCTGGAAAGTCTTGAATTATTCGAAATTTCAGTCATAGATATTCACTTCAAAATGAGTGGTGGCTCGCAGAACTGGAATGGCTCAGCTGGGTATTGGTTTCCAACTGCGGAAATTTCATCTTGATAGTTCTGTTGTAGTCCCTTGAACAGTTGAGTGAGAACTTGAGCGATTGTCTCCATAACCTAGAAAAAGCGATTATGAAGCTAGTCTGTACAGTTTGAAAAATTTACCTCATGATAATGGAAGTTGAATGCCATCTCCAAATCGAGTCCAACAAATTCGGTCATATGGCGATGGGTGTTGGAATCCTCCGCGCGGAAAACTGGTCCGATTGTGTAGACCTTCTCGAAATCTCCAGCAATAGCCATTTGCTTGTAGAGCTGTGGGGATTGGGCCAAGTAAGCAGACCCCTTGAAGTAGGAGACCTCGAAAACATTAGCACCTCCTTCACTTGGAGCTGAGATGATCTTTGGAGCCATAATCTCAACGAATCCTCTAGCATCGAGAATGTTTCTGAATTGGTTGCAAATTCCTGCTTGGATGCGGAAAATAGCATGCGAAGTTGTGGTACGAAGATCAAGAACGCGGTTGTCGAGTCTTGTGTCCAAGTTGACAACGGCCAGTTGATTTTCTTGCTCGCTATTCTTTTCCTCGTCGGTTGGAGCTCTGCGAGACGCGTCCTCAATTTGCAGAGGAAGTTTTGGAGCGGATGAGGATACGACAAACACTTGTTGAGCAAGGAGTTCTACATCCTTCTGGGTACAGGATTCAATTGGTGTCTCGACTTTGTTAATTGTCGCAAAGACATCAATGATTGATTCCTTGGAAATCGAAGACACAAACTTGAGCATTTGTTTGCTGATTTTGTCGTTCATGAACATAGCAATTTGGACAGTGTAAACTCCTTGACGAAGAACAATGAAACAGTTCCTTCCTTTGGAGCGAATGGTATGAACGCGTCCTCGAACCCAAATCTGAATAAGTTTTCTCTTAGTGGCTTGAAATTGAGAAAAAAACTTACATCCTTTGTAGCGTTGGCGACATTCACTTCTTTTACTCTCAGGAAGTTCAGTTCCTTCTTTTCCTTTGAATTCACAAGACCATAAGATCCATAGAAGTCCTTGGAGTAGTCTTCTTGCTCCATAGCCGCAGATTGTTGTTGATTTTCTCCTTTCTGAATTATAAATCGTCGAATTCAAAAAAAAAACTGGCAAATGAAAATCTCGCGGGCTCTCAATTCGACGGTACATGACCCAGGTTGCGAAATATTTCCAAATCTCACTAGGATGGAAATTTAGCTAATGCAAGTGCATTATGACGTCACAGAGATGAACTTTATTATCTCATAGTATCTCATTTGAAGCCCTTTGATCTCATAACAATGTCTTCTCTTTTTTCAGTAAAAAATGTTACCTCGGCAGCTTTTTCATCTTTCTTGGCTTTCCTGGCTAGCTTGTTAAGCTCCTTCTTTGAGAGCTTTGGTTGTTCCCCTTCTGGTACATCAGCCATTATTACCTGCAAAAAGTTATGTTCTATACCAGTGTCGAAGAAGCGTGTCAGGTTCAAAACAAACAAATTTTGAATGATTTTGGGCTGAAATTCGTTCAGCATTTTGTCTGTGTTTGCGCGTCAGATGGGTTGTTTCTGCATCCAAGGCGTCAGACGCTACGCGCAAATATTGACTGCCCTTGCGCGCCGACATAAAAATCCCCACCTGTTTTTAAGTTTCCCACGCCTGAACCCACCTGGTCTGACATAATGTTTTCAGTTCTCTTCAGTCCTATCATTCTTTCTACATGTACTCTTTTTTACCCTCTCTATTCGTTTCTCGTCATCTTTTGCACACTCTTACTATTTTAATATCGAATTTCAGGTCAAAAATCACTACAAAATGGAAGAAGATAACGATGAAGTTCCGGAGATCAGAACCATCGCTATTCCTTTGAAGGACAGTCAGGAAGATGTAAGTTTTAATCTATTAAAATATTATAAAATACCGATAACTTTGTGAAAGTCGATCATTGTGTTCTGTAGTGCGCGCAGAAGTTCGGAAATCTTGATTCATCAAGTCGGTAGGCCCCTTTTTTGCACCTATTTTGAATTTCAGCCAGCCGACTTGATTGATCATTGTTTTCGAATTTCAGGGTACCCACCTAAAACGTCTCCGCCGGTTCTCTATCGAAGTTTGGAACTTAACACAAAATTGGGCGACGGCATCTGAAAAATCCGTTCAATATGTCGAATCAATAATCAATTCACGACTCAAACTGCTTTATTCAAAAGACGACAAGGCAGATGAATCCGCGAAATTGACAAAAGATCAAACTGACAGAATTTTCAATGATATTGTCGTTGCGAATTCTAAATTGAATCAAACAATGTCGGATTTTGAACGAATCATTTCGAAATTTGAAGTTGCTCGAGGAAGAATGTCTGCTTGGAAACTGTTGACAGAGAAAAGTTCAAATGCTGAGGAAAAGTATATTGTAGAGACACTTGACACAAATCTGCCAGTGATAATTTCAATGTTGAAAAAAGAAATTTCTGTTAAACAAACCGCCCTTTTCGATTTTGCCCAAAATGAGAATCGGGATGTTTTCACACTTGTACTTCTCACTTTTAAGCACGAACCTTTCGTTGATGTTGCGCTTCTTTCTAAATTTTTTGCGTTGGTGGCTGCTGAAGCACAATGATCGATTTTTCACTCTTTTTGTTTTTGTTGTTGTTTTTATGATAAAAATAAAGAATTTCGATTTAACACTAAATCAAATGTTCAGGAAGTTATCGAAATAAACTGTTCCGAACTACCAGATGGAGCCGAAGTCTTGAGCATATTGGAAGCAGAAGAAGCAAAGTTGTCATACTGGATCGAAGTGGCTCTGGAATATTTCCGACAAGATCGCGTCCAACCTTTCATGGAGATTCTAGAAGCAGCTGGCACTCGCGCCGGATTAGAATATGATGGTGTGAAACAGGATCAGATGAGAGCTCTGGATATTCTTGCTGCCTATTGGATGACACAAGGATACAGAGAAAGAGCAAAGGACAAGAAGCAGGATTTCTTCTCGAAAGCTACCGTTCTCTTCAACACTGCAGACAAAATAGCCATGTATGAATGGTCTCATTTGACTGTTCGTGCTTGGTTCTATCTTTTCGAAAGGGATAAAAGTACCAACAAGTATGAGTTGGCAGATCAGCAATTCAACTACGTCGTTAAAACATATCCACAAAATGTGCTCCCGTTGATTGGAAAAGCTGTCATTGCATTCAACAAGAAAGATTACAAAACTGCAATTTTCTACTTCCGCAAAGCCATCCGTCAACGTCGCTACTCGATCGCGGATCTTCGTGTCGGAATCGGTTATTGCTTCGCTAAAATGGGATTGGTGGACAAGTCAAAATTGGCATTTGAGAGAGCTCTCGAGCTGGAGCCAGACAATGTTTCTGCAATGTGTGGATTGGGAATAATTCTGTTGAACACATTAGAACAAGATAATCTCAAAATTGCTGTAAACTTGTTTGGAAGAGCCTATCATGCACAACCAGATCAGCCAGTGGCACTCGTTCATCTAGCCAATCATTTCTTCTTCAAAGGAGAAGTGGAACGAGCGTGGCAGCTATCATGGCATGCAGCATCAAATGACTGTGACTCTATCAAAGCTGAAGCGTTCTACCAAATGGGAAGGTGTCGGCATACACAAGGACAGTATGACGGAGCTTATAAGGTGACTTGGTTCTTAACTCTGATCTCATTCCAATTCGATTTCTTTTTCAGTATTACTACCAAGCTCGTCAAGCCAACAATCAAGAGCACACTCTTGCTCACTACGGTCTCGGTCAGATGTATATTCATCGCAACGAAATCGAAGAAGCCATAAAATGTTTCGAAGTTGTTCATCAGCGTTTGCCACATAACACTGACACAATGAAGATTCTCGGAAGTCTCTATGCACATGTACAGTTGGCTGATCCAGCACGCACCAATGAGGCAAGACAAAAAGGACGAGATGTGCTGGCAAAGTACTTGAACATTGAGGCGGAAGACTGCGAAGCTTGTATTGATTTGGCACAACTTCTCGAATCAACAGACTCCAAAAAATCTCTTGAATTGTACGAACGAGCAATTGATTTGTTGGAGGCATTCGAACAGATCCCACCACAACCAGAAATGCTCAACAACGTTGGAGCTCTCCACATGTCAATGAAACAATTTGACAAAGCCGAACATTATTTCAAAAAAGCCAAGGAGAGTCTTGAAGAACAATTGAGCTCAGAAGCAGCACAGTTTTCGGACCGTAGAGCTGCTCCAGAACGCTCACACCTTCTCACGATCCGCTATAATTTGGCCCGCTGTTTGGAACATCTCTGTCGTACTTCTGAAGCCGAGCAGATGTATAAGGACATCATCTCTGAGTGCCCAGGATATACTGACGGATATCTTCGTCTTGGATGTATCGCCAGAGATCGTCATCAAGTTTATGAAGCCTCGTTGTCGTTCAAACAAGGAGTTCAATTTGATCAGTCATCGCCAGTTGTTTGGACATTGATTGGAAATCTGCATTATGCCAAAAACGAATGGATGCCAGCACAGAAGAAATTTGAATTCATTCTATCCAAGATATATAACAACAAGACACCTGATCCATATTCGTTGGTAGCGCTGGGTAATGTGTGGATAGAGCAACTATTGAATCCATCAAGAAAGAAGGAAGATGTAAGTTTTCAATTAAACAGGAAGCTTACAATCAAATTCATTCTTTCAGGAGAAGAAATACATGGATCGTGCTCTTCAAATGTACCAGAAGGCTTTGAAACTGGAACCAAAAAATATGTACGCTGCAAATGGCATCGGTTGTGTTCTAGCATACAAACGAAACTGGAACGATGCTCGTGACGTTTTCTCTCAAGTTCGTGAATCGACCAGCGAGTTCTACGATGTCTGGATGAACATAGCCCACGTTTTCATGGAGAGAGAACAATGGATGTCTGCAGTCCAAATGTATTCATCAGCTATGAAAAAGTTCCGAAAGGAGAACGATGCTATGCTTTTGCATTACCTTGCAAAGGCTTATTATCGCGCTAATATGCTCAGTGAGGCGAAGGAAGCTCTTGAGAGAGCAATGCTCGATCAGTTGGATAACACTCAGCTCAAATTCAATTATGCTATTGTTTTGAAAAAGTCTGCGAAGGAGATACTTCGTGGGCACAAAATGACATCTCAACAAGTAAACACTGCTATAAGCGACCTGACATTTGCTGAAAAGATTTTCCAATACATCTCCAAGAACGATGACCGTCAAGCCAGTCACACTGGAATGCGAATTTCAAGAACCGCTTGTTCGGAAGAAGCGAAGAACTGTAGAGATCTGTTGACTCAAGCGAAACATAAACTGGCTGCTGCACAGACTCAGGATGAGGAGGAACGACGGTTGATAGAGAAGCAAGAAAAGGAGAAGATAGCATTGAAAAATAAGCTGATGGAAGAAGCAAGAGCTCGAGAAGAGGCTGAAAAGAAGAGAATCGAGGATGCAAAGAATCTTCGATTATCGTTCATAGAAATGACCAAGGATGTGCTGAGGCTTCCAGAGATTGTAGAGGAGAAACGAAGAGGCGGAGGTGGTCGTAAGCGACGAAACGATGATGGAGACGAATTTGTCAATGACAGTTCGGATGCCGGAAACTATGATGGGGAAGAAGGTGGCGAGGATGGCGAGAGACGAGAACGTCGGAAGAAGGATAAGGCAGCAAAGAAGGCGTCGAGAAAGAAGAGAGAGCGAAGAGATAGTGACGGAGGATCAGATTCAAACAGACGAGATGAGAAGAAGAGAAAGAGAAAGGAGGAGAAGGCGAGAAAACTTGAAGAAAAGCTCTCAGCCAAACAGTCCGCGAAGATCAAGTCACGTGCATTCCTGTCGTCATCTGAATCTTCTGATGATGATAAGCCAAAACCAGCTGCTGATTCTTCAGATGAAGAGGAAGACGAGAGACCGCCAGTGAATGAGTTTGGTGAGTACTACTAGATCAATCAGATCAATGTTATCCTTAAAATTTACAGATAGTCCTGATAGTAATGCCGGTAGTGATGAGGAGATGGCGGCAGCGAAGAAAAAAAAGAAGAAGGCTGTCGTGGATTCTGATGAGGGTTCTGACAATTCTGATGATGACAGACCGATTATTGGAGCTTCAGATGGTAAGAAATTGGAATTCAAAGGCAATCAGAAATGTCTTATTTTTCAGAGGACGACGATGACAAGCCGGCTGCCGGTGGTGCCTCCAGTAGTAGTGACAGTGATGTGCCAAAGGAGAAAGTAGTAGAAAGTGACAGCGATTAGTTTGTATTGTCGAATTAAAAAAGTGACACCTGAGAATTTGAAAACTTTTGCTTTTTTTGATCTACGAAAAAGTGCGGCAAAAACGTAATATTTCAGAATTTCGGCTCGTTCGAGCTACTTTCGTGTTTAATTTTAGTTTTTTTGCTTAAAAAAAAAGGTTCTAGAGATGCTAGCGATCATTTTTATATCAAGAAATCAAAATTTTGTTCAGAAAATCCCACTAAATTCACATGAATAAATTTGTTATCTACATTATCCGTTTTCGCTCCGCCCCCTCGTAAATCGACACGAGCGCCGTCTCCGAGATTTTCAGGCGTCACTTTTTTTAATCCGACAATAAATCCGAAATTGTTCAAACTTCATTTGTTTTGTTTCCATATGTACCCACCCTCTGTCGTTTTTCCCCCGTTTTCCACACCTGTTCTCTACTTCTTCTGGACCTACCATCATCATCTTTTATCCGAATCTCTTCTAATACAATATTCAAAGTGATCACGTCGTTTTTTCATGAGTTTTTATTTTTCTTCTCGCATCTCGTTTTGGTACATTCATAATTTTCTCTTGTTCTTTTTTTGAGAAGCTAATAAATAAAAGTTTTAAACCTCAAAAATCTTTTTAATAAATAGCCACAAATATAAATTACAAAAAATAAGTTAAACCAATACATAAAAATGGCAAAATTGAAGCTGGCAAAACCGAACATTACAAAACGAGCTACATCAACACAACACCACATAATAACACTGAGCAGATTCATGCAGTCGTTTGAGCTACCGTATCGTCGCGAATTCGTCTGAAAATATGAAAGCTGAAGAAGAAACATGCATCATGCAAAAATTTTCAAAAATCAAAAAAATATTCGAATGTTCCAAAGTTTCTAATTATCAATTGAACGATAAGTGCTCCCACCACTATCCATATGTCGAAGACCCGCCATCGTGAATGCTCCTTTCTCTTTTGAAGGTGTTGCCGGAGACGTGGGATCCTCGACTGCCTGAAAAGTAATGGGTTGTATTTAAAAGGAGACTCCACCGATTCCGAGGAAGGGGCACTTTATATCTCGTTTCAAATAAGCAATTTTGCAGACCACATTACGGTTCGGACCTTTTCCATCGGTCTCGAAAATGAACGGAGAGAACAAGTTTATGGTTATGAACCGTATCCTTTTTTCTGTAAATGAATCGCTGTTCGAGGTTGCATCAGAAGTGGCAGCAAGATATGTTTGTCTAGGAACTCTTTCAGGTAAATTTCTTTTTTTTACCTCTAGTTTTAACTATATATCATTTCAAGTGTGTTGCTCCGGATTCAACTTTC